TAGTAAATAAAACACTTCTGGTTTTGAAGCATAAAAGTTAAGGTGTTAGCTTTGAGCCCTGGTCTTGGGCTGTAAGTGTCCTTTGGATAAGGAACTTAGTATTAGTGACTCTTTGAGTCGAACGTCTTCCTCTGACGCTAAAGCTACGGCAGCCCCACTGCACCGCGTCATCGGGTTCAGCATTCTTGTCACTAAACGTTCCATTACCTCTAAGATCGCATGCGTTTGGTTCGCAGGGTCGGCCCAAAGATGCCTTTCAATCTGCTTGATAGTCTCTATCGTCGCAGTATAACGCTGCCGTTGTTTTGTTCGAATTCGTTTTGCTCTGGCGTGTGCAGTTTGTCGCTTGTAGCGGTTGGTCTCCTTCGTAATGCTAATCCACAGCGACTTTCGCAGATAATAGCAAAATAGGAGCATCGGCGAGTCTGCATAGCTTGGATCTCTGACCTAGGGGTAGCAAAATCAGTAGACAGATGTGCATATGCTTCACAACCACGTTCAAACTCGGACGAGGGTGCACTCCACGAGAATTTCCGAAGCACATTCTTGTCGATATCTTCAAGGGTAAGCTTTCCACCCATCACCTCCACAAAGCCATCGTCCATTAGGGCGACATCTGCGTCCGGTTCCAGTGAGTCGTCGGCATATTTGCGCCGCTCAATGACCCCTATATACACTATTAGCGCTGTTGTCACTACCGCTCGCATCGATATCCTCATAGGCGTCCGACACTTCTCCATCCGCCATGATGGTCACGTCGTCCTCCGCTACGTCAACGCAGTCATCCGGAGCGTCCTCCAACTCTCATAATCATCCACACTGGCACCGTCGCTCGCGTTACCATTATCCGAGATGTCAGACTCGGCGCCCAGCAAGAGGCGCTGAAAGGCACCGACGACCAGCTCGTGATCTGCCTGGTCCAGACGATTCAACTGGGAACCGCTTTCCGATCCGTACATCGTTTGTATTGTGTTGGCTGATGACGCAATGGATGTGTCGATCTGCGACGCCGTCACCGACTCGCTCGCTGGCAAGCTCTCATCGACACTTGCCTCTCCCCCACTCACGCTACTCTCTTCTCCAATAAGCCCCGACTCGATCGCAAACGTCACCACTGCATTCTCGCCTACAAACAACAATTTATTTCGATACCTGTGTTGTGCTTCGCTCATGCGTTACGTACCGACAAGCGAGATCCCGGTCGGTGACGTATACGTCCACTCCTTCACGAGTCCGGAGCCTGATGGCCTCTTCGCCACTCCACGGAGCTGTCGCCACAGATGCTTGAAGTCGACCGCTCGAACCATAAGCGTGTCTTGAACTACCGACTGCCTGATTATCGTACTGGATAGTACTCTTGCCATTGTGGCAAATTTTGGAATGAGACACCGCTGCTTCAAGTCGCCAGCCTCGACCACTCATCCAAGTGTCCGGACTGACCAGATTACTGCAGCACATCTATTCCTTCCCCCACCCTCTCTTTGGCATTTCCTTTTTGACCTCTTCTAGCTTATATTTTTTGGCAGCAAAAAAAACTTGATTTAAGTATCGTATCCACTTTGTTCGAGCCATTTTCTATCTTGGGATCCCAGTAACGTCGTAACTTACGACTTGTGCCCTCCTTGAAGTCGTAAGTTGCGATGTTGGTAACGGAGGAATTCAATAGCTCATATGATTACGCAGAAGAGATCTCAGAAGCGGAAAATGAGTTCGTCTTTGAGCAGTATATCGAAACGGGCAAAGTAAAGCCGTTCGACGTAACGAAAAATCCTTAGACCCCATGGATGTTATTGGAGCGTTTAGCGAATACGTTGCCAGCAAGAGCTCGGGTATTAAAGGATCGAAAATGATTAACAGCAATGCGTACTTTGGTTGATATCGCTATTGCTTTTACATTCAAAAAGGCAACAAACTGCTAGAACAACTATATTGTAAGAACGAACAGATGATGGTCAGCATCTGTGCGTCTGTCAATCCGGCAGCGTTAACCCCACCCTGCCGGGCGTTGCTCTTGTGCTAAAGCAAGTGCTGTTACCGCTGAGCTGAAACCTCAGCGGTTGCTGCACTTTGTAGCATTAGTGACAACGGCCCCCCCCTGGTTCATATGTATTTATGGTTTATCTATCCCAATAGATACTAGCATTGTTTTTTATATTAACTTGAGATTTGTCGCTTCTTAAGCAATCTTGGAGTCCATGAAATTACACATGGAATTGAACAGCTTTTCGGTATGGTCTTTTCTGTTTTTGCTCCATGATTGCTTTGTATGTTATATCAAATAAATTATTCCTCAAAGATGTCAATCTCAAGCGTCTTGCCGCTGCCAATAGATGTGAAAGCACCATGGAATATCCGCCCCCGACGGTCTTTAGGTCTGCTTAGCGGAGCTGTAGCGGGCTTTGCAGGAGGATTGGGTGCGTGATCGTATGAATGGTCTGGCTCAAATGAAACTCCGGAAGCATCGCTCGGTTTGCAATCTTGTTGTAGCTCATGTTAGCAGCCATGGTGCTGTGCAGTAGTTTGGCGTGTAGTTCGTTCATCTCGCGATTGGCAAGTTCAGCATAAGCTGGCGATTGAATCAAACGAGACTCAGCAATGTGCCGGATCATATTCATTGACATTTGCTTTCCATTGTACTTCATGAAGTGCTTCGACAGAACTTGACTAAAGCTATTGCTTAAATTCGTATAAGCATACTCACCTGGTTGTTGATTGAACATGCTCCATAGTAGCTTACTTGGCTGCTCTCCAAGTGTATTAGCAAAGAAGTCGAGGTAGGACTTAATCGAGCTCATTGTGGTGCTATCCAACAGAATCGTTTGTGGTCCCGTGAGACGAACATTCTTGAAATCATTGAGCTGTAAAACGTTTCCTCAGAGGTAATTTTCATCTTCTGCTGGACTGAGAAGAACGCTCGGTCATACCAAACGAAGTGGATAATGCACGTTCAACCACAACATGGTGTAATCAAACACAACCTTCAAGTAATCACTTATCTTTGCTCTCAGTGCGGCAGCTTGATCAAACCGATCTGTCATTGTCTGTAGAATACACAAATAAGTTTTACGCATTTAGGTGAAAAACATTTATCAAATACTTCTATTTAATATCCGTGGTCGGCAATTCAGAGTACGATCAAACACACAAACGATAAGTTGGCGGCCCGTCGTCAACGTACAATACCAGAAGGGGACTTGTTTCGGTTTCTTGGAGTCCGACTCGCTATTGCAGTAGAACCTAGACGAGGTGCCCTACGAACCTACTGGGAAAAAGACATTCTTGAGGATTTTGTTGGGGCCCCTCCCAATTTTGGGGAACGTTTTGGTGTATCACGTCACACATTTGAACCCATTTCGGGTGCATTGTCGTTTGCAGATGACGTGATCTCGGATGACCCATGGAAGCCAATGCGTGCTTCTTGCTAACAGCTTTAATGATCGCCGACGCGGAGTAGTTTCGCCAGGTGAGATCATGTGCATTGACGAATGTATGAGTGCATGGCAAGGTAGAGAAGCAAAGCACTGTCATGATGGTATCCTCCATAAGACGAAGATACCGAGAAAGCCGGAGGGTATTGGTGCTGAGTTGAAGGCTACAGCTGACGGCTATTGTGCTTTGATTTTTGGGGCCGTACAAAGGGACAGGGCGCACCATTGTTGCAGATAGTGCCTTCTCTTCTGTCAAAACATTAGTCCAGCTTGAGGCACCTTGCGGTCTATACTTTATGGGAATGGTTAAGACAGCCTCGCGAGATATCCAAAACAGTACATGAAAGACTGGTTTTCGACTGGGCCTTCTAGCGGCTCATTCAGAATGCTACAAAGCAAAACTTCAAAAGGCCAGCCAATGTATGCACTTTGTTGGGCCGACCACAAGCCAAAATGCATTATTTCCAATCGCGGTACGTCTCTTCCTGGTACAGACAGCGTTCGGCGACGTCATAAACTTCTAGATGACGGTGGTCAAGCTAAAACACTGCAGTACGTGCGTAGAATACAACGACCTCACATGGGCGAGCTGTTCGTTTCGAAATTTTCCGCTATTGACGTACACGACCATCTACGACAAGGATGCATCGAGATGGAGCGAACATGGTCAGTGACATCATCGTTTATTTGCCACCCTTTTTGGAATGATTGTATCCGACGCCTATCGTGCTTACCAATACGAATTGACTGCTGCAAGCTGCCTGCAGTCGACCATCGCAATTTTCAATTCGTTCATCTCGCAGTTGGCCCACCAACTAGTCTTCAGCAACTTCACAATGCAGCGACCAACGCGTCCTGGTAGTGGTACCAATTCTTCTGGAGTAGAAACCCTTCTGACGCACACATTGCGAACATTTAGCTCTTTAGCTCAATACCAGCGTCTTAGTGGAACTGCTTTACGGGCTCAACGAAAGTGTGGAGTCTGTGGAAAAATGGCATCATTTTACTGCGTTGGCTGCTCAGACCCACTCATAAACCAGTTCTTCGGCGTGTGTGGGCTGAAGACAAACCGAGACTGTCATTGCGCATTCTACTTACGCATAAATCCATCCCATACATTATTTTTTTTATAATTGACCAATGCTTCAAATCCCACGCGTGGGCTCAAAGGTGATCCCACGCGTGGACTTTCTAGCTGGGTAATTAAGGTTAAAGACGAGAAGGATGTGACCCGAAGCGGAGCGGAGGGATTATTTTCTGTCGACACGCCTACCAGACAACACTGCGTACAAGACACTGGATAAGGAGGTGAAGATGCTCTGTATGAACTTGGAATTACAAGATGCGGAGTCTCGACTCTCTCGCCTCATGGCCGAATTCTGCGAGATAGGCGACAGGTTGAACATGGAGGATGCGATGCAAGTAGATGTGGAAAGTGATTGTATAATTGGTGGAGGCCTTGCGTCCACCATCATTCAGTGCTGCTGTGAAGGACCAATTGGGGCGTCAAACGCGCAAGCAGACTAAGGCAAATATACAAGTCTTCCTGAAGTGGGCTCGAAGTGAACTGGAGGGCTTTATGCGCTTTGAAGCCCACATCTCGCCACCGGCGCAAGCCAAAACTAGCGCCAAGGGTTAATTGCATCCAGGATTTGGAAACAACTCAAAGAAAACTCAGGGAGAACGTGGTACAGGTAACAAAACTTCGACATGCAGCGGACAACGGTCCAGCGAACCTGCAGGAGATGGGATGCCGAAGTTAGACACCGTTCAAAAACCTTTTAAGTCGGACAAATAGTGTTTTAAGTGTGAAGATAAGACGCACGGTGTTATCCAGTGCCCAAACATCGCTAGCCCACTGAAGCAAAAGAGTTACACGAGAAAAGCACCGGCAGAAAAGTGTTTAAGCGGCAGCTCCAATAATTAGTGTGGCCAGGCCATGTTCACCAGCAATCCCGTGCGTCGTGATGGATGCAGTAGACGCAGATATCACGCCGGATAGCGCGGTGGAAGTGTCTGTGGTAACGACGAAGCTCCTGACGCTGTTCTCCAGAAAGGGAAAGTGGATGGCTCGTCAAGCTTTACCGGAAAGTACTGCGGTGACTGGTATCTGGGAATATCAGTGGCTGTAAAGAGTAAATTCAAGATTCATTATAAAGTTTTCGACACCAGGTGGCCCGCTCGAGTTGCGAAACGTGGTTTGTTGGGTCACGGAGCAGCACCTACCACCCGGGATTGATGACTTACTGCTGTCTCGATTGATCATGGAGCGGCTCGGCTAAAACCCGGGAAAAACTACTCGCTGCTTCTCAACAAGCTCAGTATGTGTGGGATATGAGTGATGTTGGTGAAGAAACTACTAATTGTGGCGCGAGCGTACTGGCGTACAATACAGCTGTGCTAACGCCTGAAGCGACAAAGGAAGAGACTCTTATGAGTGAAGACGAGGTCCAGACCTGTTTCTTGGTATTTGATGATGATAAGAAAGCTGAACGTCAGCAGATATAGGAGATTCTTCTAAAATAAGGTGGAGCAAGCTCGTAGTTTGGGAGCGTCAGCCGAATTTGTCGAAGAAGAACTTCTTAAGATGCGGATGCAGTTTATTGACGTGTTTCGATTGGTGATCGGCCGTGATCCTCCTGTGAACATGCCGCCGATGGAGGTTACGTTGAAACCCGGTGTCACTCCTGTGCGATGCTGTGCTCATCGATACTCACAAGCGCATCGAGAGTTCATGAAGGGGCACATTGACGCGCTCATCGCTGCAGATCTGTGTTACCGAAATCCTCCGAGTGAGTGGTGCTCACCACCGCATGTAGTGAGCAAACCTAAGGCTGGAGCCAACCAAATGCCAGTGGATGTTAGGGGACCCAATGCGTGTGTGGAGCAAATTGTCTGGCCGATGCCGGTTCTTGTAGGGATTTTTGATCGCTGTTCTTGAAGTTATTTTTGATCGCTAACGTGGATCTTCATATTTCTTTTCACTAGATTGCTTCAAAGGTTTGGCAATTTGCTATGGCTCCGTTCTCTCAGGACATCTATTCGATTTTGACGGAGGAAGGAGTGATTACTTCGACTCGTGTGCTCATGGGGGGGGCACCAACAGCGTGGCATACGTGTAATTTACGGTACAGGAGATGTTCTCCGAGGTGTTCAACAATGGACTTTTGATATGGATTTATGACCTTCTGGGCTACAATGACACTGATGAGGGTATATTAGCCTTACTGAAGAAGGTGCTCACTATTTGTGCAAATAAAGACCTAAAGGAAAATTCCAAGAGGTGATCTTTCTACTTGCGGGAAGCAATGTGGTGCGGTCGCATTGTGTCCAATGGCGGCGTGCGGCATGATCCAGCTAGAGTGAAGGCGTTGACGAAACTTCAGTTGCCCATCACAGGCCAAGAGCTGCAACAGTTCGTTTGTGCTCTGAACTGGATGCGAACGTCACTCCCAGCATATAATAAACTGATCGACCCACTGCTGAAGTTTATTGAGAAAACGTATGAAAAAGCAGGCGGTCGTACTAGGCCGCAGGTTTGAAAGGTGCTGTTGAGTGACGTTGGCTGGGGACCAGAACAAGAAGACTTTTTACGTCGTTGCAAAACAGCACTGCAACATGCGCTGCAGCTAGCACACTCCGCCCAACGAAGAGACTATGTGTGTATACTGACGCCAGTGACGAGCACTAGGGCGCTGCAAAAACCCAAGTTTCGCAGAATCATGCCATGAGACCGCTAAGCGAGCAAGATCATCAGCACATTGTTGATGCTCAGCGGGACTTCAGCGGTTCGGCGATGCGAGGGGA